CGTCATTGGTGCAACAAGTTGCTGCTGGGGAAATTCGGTTGGGCACCAACAGTATGATCTCTCATGATGAAGAAACCAACCAATAGAATGGAACAAATTCGGCATGCAGCCATCTCCGCTTTCCATTGGCTAGACTCCCATGAAAGATTGCGAGTCGCGTTGAAGTCGACCGCCCAAGTTAATGTCACTCGCGCCAGGTACACAAGTGTACTTCCACACGCCACCAGGCCAGCACCGTCGTTTGCAAGACAGTTCAACTGGACAGTTGGTCCCTGCCCCAGTAGGGTGTAGACAAAGTGTGGGTAAGATATAAGGGAACAGTTGTTTGAGTCGCCATTGGAAAGGGTGCAGAATAGTTTTTGGAGTTTTTTTTGGCTCAGGCTTTGGATTTTTTGTTGGCTTTCTTTCCTGGTACCATCTGCCGTGTATTCGCAAGAGTTTGGAACTAGAATCTGTCATTTTGCATGGTATTTGCTACATTTTGGCATGGTTTGCATATGTTTGCATGGTATTTGCCGCGTTTTGGCACTTCAACCTCTCATTTGCATGGTATTTGCTACATTTTGGTACTTCAAACGTTCATGTGGGGTTTCTTGAAAATTTCTTTTGGGTTTCATTTAGGGTTTCTTTAGGTTTAGGGTTTCTTTAGAGTTTCGTTTAGGGTTTCTTTTGGGTTTCATTTAGGGTTTTTTAAGAGTGTCGCTTAGGGTTTCTTTAGGATGTCATTCAGGGTTACGTTCAAAGTTTCTTTGGGGTTTCATTTATGGTTTCTTTAGGGTTAATTTACGGTTTCTTTAGGGTTCATTTAGGGTTTAGGGTATCAGGGGTTCTTATCAGGATTCTTTAAGGTTTCTTTGGGTTTCACCGTTTCACCTAGGGTGTTTACAAACAGGAGAGAATAAAGTAAAAGAAAAGAACAAACAAAGAGGCAGTACAGACAGGAAGCAGAGAAGCAGAGGAGCAGGAAGTAGAGCAGCAAAAACACATGACTGAAGAAAAAAAAGTACAAGTAGAAAGGCACAGAAGCACAAAAGCAGAAAAGCAGAGAAACAGGGAAAGCAGAGAAGCAGAAAAGAAAAGAAGCAGGCAAAGCACAGAAGCAGAGAAGCAGGGAAGCAGAGAAGCAGGGAAGCAGGGACAGGGAAGCAGAGAAGCAGAAAAGAAAAGAAGCAGGAAAAGCAGACAAGCAGAGAAGCAGACAAGCAGAGAAGCAGGAAAAGCAAAAAGCAGAAAAGCAGAAAAGCAGGAAAGCATAGAACCAGCAACCCAAAAGTAATTCCAAAATCTGCCGCGAAAAAAATACCAAAAATAAATTCCCTCCCGTTGAAAATGTTCGTCTTGCTACCCCTGAAGAAACGTTGGATACACGATATATCCTGGGTGTTCTAGAAGAAATGCAGCAGGAACTCACCAGCGAACGGCGAACATCTGGCTATGGAGACCTCGTCGAGGAGCCAGCTGAGGCCGTGCAAAAATCTGGTAATGCTGCGCCCTATCGTGTGTCAGTTGCGGTAGATGTTCCCGAAGCATCCAGTGCACCGTCCAATCAACTCATCATTCCCGGAAATGTTAGTCCCGAGTTGCAAGAACAGATTGATCGATCCAGACGAATGGCGGACACCTTGGACGGCCATACTGTTGAAGAAATCCAAGCCAGCTGAAACCGTGCGGGCCAACGCAGCACCATCCATAGGTCCGATCGATTGCAACCAATATGGGAATAACATAGGGGGTAATGTAGGGGATAAGATAGAGTATTTCAACCGTGGTGCAACTCGAGAAGTGTGGAAACACATCACCCAGCGCGTTCAAGAGGAAGCATCCCTTGATGCAGGGAGTGAACTGTGGCGCGCCAGGTCCGGCCTACATCTTCCACAAGACCTGACTGAGGAAGGGGAGGTGACGTTGAAGCGGCTGCGAGATGTTAGTGATCCGACATGGCTTCCTGAAGCGGCTGATAGCACTAAGGTGGCTAAGGTGGATGATGCGGTGGGCGATGATGCATTGCCAACAACTGCATCTGCGTTGTGGTGTGAATCTGGTGTCGTGATGTGTTGTGCCTTGGGCTCCAGGGCGGGCAGAAGCCAAATGGGTGCTCACCGCAGAAATGAGCAAAGAGGGAGGGGCAGAAGAATTGAGGCATCTTCAACATGAACGACAATGTCGTGAAGAAAGATGCCAACAACTAGAGTGGTCTAGATGAAGGCACCAAGAACCAAGAGTTAGAGGCATGCAAACGTGAAAGAGGTCTCAGCCGTGGACCTCCCCCTGGAGCCCGAACTGAAATCTATGTCAAAGACACGGTGCCAGCAGAGGTGCGCATGACCGAGCCAGCACTGGTGAAAGCTTTGGCGATTCACTTTGACCATGATGCCATCAAACCTGTTGCCAAAGGACAGATAGTTCCCGAGGATCGAGCCATCCACAGCCGCATAGTGATTGTCAACCAGAAGTAGAAGCATTTGGCCAACTCCTTTGAACCCAAGGGTCGGCTTTGTGTAGGGGGACATTGTGATCCAGATCTTGGCAGGTATGAAGCAACTAGCCCTACGGCACTGATGGTGGCGCACTGTTTGCTCTTGGTGATTGCGGTAACCATGGGCTGGCCAGTCGACATCGCTGATGTCACATCGGCATTTCTGCAAGGGTTGGGGTTGCCTAGAGATGAAATTCCGTACATCAGAGCACCTTATGGTTGTCCACCCATTGTGCTGGCATATCTAGCATGGCGTCTAGGTTCAGAATTTTGCGGAGACATGTTTGAAGCCACCAAAGGCATTTTTGGCCTCAGTGACAAGAACTGGAGCAAGAGTTGGGATTCAAGGAATCCAAAATCATTCCATGCTTGTTTTTCACAAATGTAGATGGTCGTCTTTGCGGGTTAGCCACTCTTCATGTAGATGATGTACTTCTCACAGGTGATCCGCAAGTGATGAAGCCCGTGTGGGACAAACTACGAAGTCACTTGAAGTTTGGTAGCTGGACTAGCTTGCGTGAAGGTGGCAAGTTTCTGGGTAGGTGGCTCAAACAAAGTGAAGATCTTTCCGAGATCAACATGACTGTGGAACTATAGCCACTCCTTGGAACAGATTGAGGTAGACAAAGCCAGCCTTGATGTCCAGCCCGTGTCTCCAGCGCAAGCAGCGCAACTGCGTGCAGCGGTAGGACAGTTGGGGTGGTTGGCCAAACAGGGTAGACCAGACTTGTCCTTTTCAGTTTCATACCTCCAACAAAATATGGTTGATGCAACGTGTAGCACCTTGCGGTTGTTGAACACCACCATTCAAAGCAAAACAACCCTTTGAAATCAAGGTCAAAGGTTTAGGATGTTCCCTGGACGACATCACCGTCCTTGTGGCTACGGGTAGAGCGTTGAGGTTGGCAGCTATGCCTCGTGGCAAATCACAGCTTGGTTTGTTGCTGATGCTGGCGAATCCTCGTCTACAACAAGGGGCATCCAATGTGGAGCCAATTGAGTGGTGTAGCACGTCTTGCAAACGGGTTGTGCGTAGTTCTGCCGCTGTGGAAGCTGCTGCGGCTTCACTGGGCTACGAGCACGCTGAGTTTTTGCGAGCTGTGTTATATGAAGTTCTGGACACTGCATTTTCTACCAGACGTTGGTTTGAAAATGCAATCAAATGCAAGATTTTGATACTAGATGCGAAGGCAGCCTATGACTATGACTGCTTGTCATCTGACGAACTGCCAGCTGACCGACGCACTGCCCTTAATTAATATCCCTGCGTTGCGAGAGGCCTCAGCCGATCCACAGTCAGCGTCTCTCTGCCGCTGGATTCCTGGACCACAGAAGCTTCTGATGGTTTGACAAAATTCAAGGGAAATGGCGTTCTCAGTGAAATCATGCGAGATGGTCTTTGGTCAATTGTCGAAGATGCTGCATGGCAGAAAGTGCGTGAAGCGCAACGTGTGAATCAGCGAGAAAAAAAAGCACGCGTGAAGGCAGACAGAGCTCAAAGAGCGGGGGAGCCGGGAGAGCCAAAAGGTCACTCATCCCAACGGCTAGTGTCTGCTTTTGTGTTTCCATTTCCAGCCATTGCCAGGCATGTCACATATCCAACGATCTCCAGCCCTTTGTGGTTCCCTGGCGTAGAAGAGGAGCTGCTTAGTGATGAGTTTATGGTTGCGCATCGCTACCGTTCAATTTGAGTGATTAGGCGATTTTTTGCAAGGCTTACTGGGCCACTTCCTTCAAAACGCACTTTGACTTTCGCCCACTCTTTCGTAGAACTTTCGCGGAACTTTCGCGAAAATACCCCTATCCGCAGACCCCAGCCATCAGCAGGGGACGCATCATAGGAAAAGCAAACACCAGGGGCCTTTGTGTTTGGCTCTCGCAAAGCATCGCTTTTGGAAGCTTGGCTGCTGCATTTGGAGCTTGCTTCTTGAGATTTCAGAAAGCAACGTTAGGCAGTACCAGCGGCAGGTGCAAGGATGTGCTTTGAGACCATGGTATTTGGCTGCGGCGAAGCCGTGGCGAAGCCTCACCTGAGGAAGCTTGGCTGCTACCTATGGTGCGGTACCATTCTCCTGCCGGACCCCGGGCGGCAGGAGATGGTAGCCCTTAACAAGCTGTAATGTATACAATATACAACGATAATGAATCATAATATCCAACTTTCGCAAAACTTGCACCAATAAAACATTTCTCTCGCGAACTCGAAAAAAACTTTCGCGAGGGTTTCCAACATAACACGCACAGCCTTCGCAACTAAAACTCCTTACAAGGACCTTTGGATCGTCTGCTATATATATATACATAACATAAGTCATAACTATGAAATAAACAGCAAGGAGATCTGTACACACTGCTGGTTATATTAATTAATCTATATATAAGACTCACAAAATCCAAGCTCCGTCCAAACACCTTGCAGTTGATCCATGTTGATCCCTGTGCCGAGCTTTTATTCTGCAAACATGATGTACCAGTACCATGATGTACCTACACCGATTTGGGTTTCAGTTCCTGTCTGACAGTCCTGAATATCCACGTAAATTGCACTGGCATCCGAGTGAAGGTGAAGAGGATCCTGGGATACGGATCAAAGCGGTGCACTCTCTCCAACCAAACAATCCAGATTCATCGCCACAAAAAAGATAAATTGTCGTGGAAGAGTACTTGCACATTATAGCATCATATGAATCATGAATCATATTATATCGTATTATTATTCTTTTTTGCTATCTCTCACTGCTTGTTTTAGCACAGTGGCTTTGCTGAAATCCAATGTTTTCAGGTCAACATCAAACGTGTTTTCTGATCGAAGTCTGAAGGCTTTTTGCGACCCAGGTCACGTGTCGACCATACTTCCCACAGCAAAGAAAAGACCGGCCTTGATGACTCCTGAGCTGGTCATTCCGTGTCTGTGGTTCAGCTTGTTATCAAACTGCACACAGCTAGGCTAGCTTGGTGCACGCTGCAAACACACTGCACGCCTTTTGTTCCTTTAGATCCTTTAGGCTCATCATTTCACCCTTCAAAATAGACCCCGGGGCTGACACCAAAGTTTTTTTTCGAGCAGGTCACCTGAAACCTAATTCCCCACAACCCAGGGAGGTTCAGGAGGAAAAAATAACCTCATTTAGCGCAACGTTTTTTTTGGCATTCTGCATAAGCATTTTGCCAAGTCTCTGCTGTTATGGTATTGGACCCCGATTGGGACAAAGTGCGTCTTCTCAAGCTGCCAATTCAGCAAGAACTGCGGCGTTGCCACGAGGTCTCATGAGCGCGAAAGCAACACATTGCACCAACACAAATTACAGTTCTTCATTCCTTCAACATCTAGATCTTCTGCCTTCAACCCTTTTGCTTCAGAAATTAAATGCGGCTTCCAAGGCAAGGCCAAAGAAAATGTCAACTCAACAGGCAAAATCAATGCCAAAACAAATAGAATATGCAATCAACAAGGAAGAACTTTTTGGAGACCACACATTATATGCATGACACGGCCTTTCGCAGAATTATGATCTCAATGACCACTTCAATGATCAGCCCGATGCCCGGCGGAATGTACCAAATGTTCGACAAATACCTCAGATCTTTACAACCACCTTGCACCAATGAATTCAAACTGCATGCAGATTTCAATTCAAGTTTTAGAACATCCGTGAAAGCAAGTCCGAAACATGCAAGAAAACAAAGCTGCAAACAAACGTGCGTGGCAAGAGAACAGAACTACAACTACAACGACTTCCACGACTACGACGACTACTTATACGACTATACTACGATTACGACTAGGACTATGACTACAACGATTGCTACGACGACGACGACGACGACGACTACTACTACTACTACTACCAAGAGAGCCCGAAACCACTCAAAACGCAGGATGTCAAAAAAAACCAGGTTTTTAATAGAAAACCCGGGGTTTTTGTTTATGGCATATGTTCAGTATGTTGTAAATTCATTATATCTTCAAGAAACATGAGAATCTTCAATTCATACAGTGCCATGTATCATGTCATCGCATATATATATATACATGATATACAATATCCGATTTATATGAGGATCAATATGATGATGAATATTTTGTTGGTGTAGTATTTGCCATGTGATTTACTTGGTGCAAGCTCACACGTCCGCCGGCCCAATGCCCCCGCACTTCCTCAAAATTTCAAAGATCTATTTTCCCTTTCTTCCCGCAATCAGAGAATCACCAAGTAATGTACCCGGCTTTGCGCCAATGCGCGTAAGCTGCTTGCAAAACCCTTTGCAGAACTCGCAGTATCACCTGGGGGGGCCCTGTTCTTCGGGCGACTCTTGCCGTTCTTCCCACCCAATCCTCCGAGACCTGTACCGCATGATTCAACGGGTTTAAAAAGTAATTCAAGGTGTTCCTTCCCAGGTCCGCTTTGAGACCCCAAAAGATATGGTCAAGGCTGTGCCCTTTAGGCATGTGTGGAAAAAGGGCCATACCCTTTTAGGCATGTGTAGTTAGCTGGAACCATTTTATCTCGTGTTTCTCTTCAGAATGGGCTTGACTTTCCACAGTTTGAAGTATTTCTCGTTTGGATTTTGTATGTCGCTGGGCCCCTGTCCTATGTGGCTTGGTTGGGGTGTTCACCATATTTAGGTTTCCATATATACCCTATATGGCTGCAACTCAGGGAACATGAATTGACTCACTTATCACAGTGGTCATGGTTGAGCCTCCTTTGGGATTGGCGTTTGTGACTCACCACAGGGCTTCAAAACACTGAAAGATTATATTTCAATGGTTTTGCTTAAAAACCAGGTTTTTTTGTGAGAAGCCGAGGTTTTGAACAACATTGGGTGAAAAGACGAGCTTTCATTTTAGAACCGACAATTTCATAGGTTGTTGGCTCCCTAGGTACTACTACTACTACTACTACTATTACTACTACTACTACGACGACGACGACCACCACCACCACCACCACCACCACCATTCAGGTTTGAATAGAAATGAATAGATGCACACGTATATATGACATATCTAAAAATATACGCGTTTAAATCAGGTAAAGCATCGACAGTGTCAACTGACAGCCCCGCAGCTGCGATGTAGATGCAACAGGGAAACAAAGGAGACAAGGAGGCCGCGTGCAAAAGCAAAGAATAACATTTACATCTCTTACAATCTTGCACGCGCACAGTGAAACCGACTTCAAAGTGGCAAAATAAAAGTGTCTCCTAGTTTTTGCAAGCGCTAGTTTCTGATTGGTCAGTGTCCAGCCAAGTTGCGGGTTGCCATCGTCAGGGACATGGCACCACTGTTCTGGAGCGATCCAAGTCCAAATGTCCTCACAAGGCTTTACGTGTTTACGTTAGTCTTCTCGACGGCTCAACCCGCAGTAAATGGATACGTAAGTATATATGACAAATTCACAACAATCGCATACTTACATGTGCATATTGCATATATAGTCAATATTTATAATTATTTAATCCCGAGAATTCGGACTCCCTTTTTTTGGGACAAACAACGGCAGTCCACTTTGAACCATTGAAATTGCACATCTAAAAGATCGAGACCTAGGATGCGTGGGTGACACAGGCAACCAACCACAAAGAATACAAAATACAAATACAACAACAATTTCCTTAAAAATAGGGAGTCCGTCTTAGCCATGTAGATGTCACTAACCATTAAAACACCAAATGTATCCAAATGTTTGCTTGCACACTGCAGTTGCCAGTTTTCAAATGCTCATAAATGTGCATGCAATAGTTCGGCGTCCCTGAAGATTGTCCTTGTCGAAAGAACAGCTGAAATTTGTTGTCAATGTCGTGACTTTTTTGCACATCTGTGATATAAGCGATGGCCGGCGCACAACAGCAGTTTTTGCAAATTTCCAACATTCAAAAAACGTCTACGGCCCCTCAAAATGCACTCTCTAAAAAAATCACGAACCAGGATGCCCTTCCAAAAAGTGAGGAGTCCGGGTTGGCCATGTAGAAAAACCACGTGTTTTCGCCAAAAAAAAACATTCTTAGCGACAACCCTGGTTGTCGCATTTTTGAAAGGAAATTCCTATAGTAGGGATTATATTGTACTATTTATATACAGTAAATATACGCGTTCATTGAACATGTGCTCATTGAACATGTGAGCGCACACAAAATACGTGATGACATGTGCATATTTAAACGCCCGTGTTTCTACACATGCAAATGTATCGTATGTGTACAAATATACATGGGTAAACACGTATGCATGTATACTCGCGTCTGCCGTCTGTCTGTCAAATTGTCCGTATGTTTCTGTGTATTTGTGTGTATGCATGCATGTATCAATGCGTATACCTATAGGTATATCTATGGGTATGTGCATGAGTATACGTGCATCTGTGTGGATATGTATATATATATTACATAATTATATGTACATATGTACATATGTATAAATATATATATATATATAAGATATATATGTGTATATATGATACGTGTGTGCGTGATTGTGCCATGCGTGCTTATCTTGGAAAACTGTAATCTTGAAATTCAAAATGTACCATGCATTGAGTAAGTTGGAAGTCAAAAAAACACACTGCAAAGAAATAGAAATCAAACATACAAAAAAATGCACGTGCAAAATGGCAGTGCGCATTTTTTTGCATGAGACCTTGGCTTTTAGCATTTTAAAAAATCTCGTGTGTCCGATTGGTCCGTGGTCTGTCTCGCACATTTCCCGGGATCTTTTTGCGTTTTACTTTGATTTTGGGGTTTTCCAAAATCATGTTTGCCCAGTTGGTCCCTGGTCTGTTTCGCATCGTTGTCGTATGTTTATTTTTTCAGTTTCTCACTCTTGCTTCTCTGAAACTTGCATTAGGTTGCGTTTGTTGCGTTGCTCCTCCATCTTTTGAGGATGTAAACATCCTGGAACAAGCCCAACCCGACATCACAGCCTACAGTGTAATATATATATATATATCTATATATCATAAATATATGTGAATGAAAATGAATGCATGTCTTTCAATCATGTATATGCGTATGTAAACATGAATATGCATATGCGTGTGCATGCCAATCTGTATGGGTACATGTGTAACTGTACACATACATACACTAACTGTCCACATACATAGACTAACTGTCCACATACATACATACCTACCTACCTACCTACATACATACATACATACATATATACATACATACATACATAACGTCACGTCACGTCACGTCACGTCACGTCACGTCACGTCACGTCACATCACATAACATCACATTACATCACACACATCACACACATACATACGTATACTCATATGTATATGTATATGTATATGTATATGTATATGTATATGTATATGTATATGTATATGTAATGTATATGTATATGTATACTGTAACTGTATATGTATATGTATATGTATATGTATAGCCATCCTAAAGTAGATAGAATCTCTGGAATTTCCAAGAAAAAGGTCCCAGAAAACACCCTAGATAGAATCTTAGAATCCCAAAATGACTCAAAAATCCGGGTCGATGATTGGAAAGAAACGCAATCTAGAATGATCACAAAAGGGGTCATTTAGCTTGTGATTTGGTTCCGGATTGCATGTTTGGGCCTCTGGAATGACCACAAAAAGGTGTTATTATGCTTGTGTATTCGGTTCTGGCATGCCAATTTCACCCTGAAATCTTCCAAGGAAAATTGCAATGTTGCTGTTAGTTCCCAGAAATCCCAAAGAGTCAATATCAATGAAGACATGGGCATATAGTTCAAAAAAGCCACCACCCCAAAGATGATAGCCAAGATCTTACCAACCAAAGTTCAGTCTTGCAGGTGTTTGAAAAGAAAGCTGCGAAAGGAAAAGGGGTAACCCCAATATTTGTATACCTATTTAGCCCCAGTATCACGGACCACTCTCGGTCTACTCTCCATCCATCTATTCTCTGCCTATCTATTGATCTATTTGTCTACTTATTTAGCCCTACAGCAGTTGTCCAAATAATTAACCCCAATATCACGCACCGCCACAGATTTGCGACCTGGTACATTACCCTGCAAAACACTCCCCGTTGACACCCTGAACACCACCTGAGGCTGCAAAAATGGGGCCCGTACGGCAACACCTTTGCCAGACCCCTAATCTCTCACTTCGTTCGCAAAAAACAACTAGCCAGCTTGTCCGGCTGGCTTTCGTAACATACATACGTATACAGTATACACATTATGTACATGCCAAATACCCATTACAGTTTTTTTCTGTACATGATATGCTGCTATTTTGAAATAGGTTGGTTGTAAAACGTATTTCATGCATCTACATTAATTGTCAATATTACCAATATTATCTAGCCTAACATCTGCATTTTTTAAATGTGTTCATACATGTATTGTGTATATACATAATTATACATATATTATACATAACACACACCAATACAGTACCATCCAATACCAACCATCCCGAAGAAAAGTCCAGCCTGGCTTGGTGACCGCTGGTGGCACCAGGGTGGCACTTCGCAGAACGTTAGAATGACCAACGCGATGACTGCCTCCGGGTTGCTGAGGCTGACGCAGTTTCTTGAAACCATTCGGCAACGGGAAAAGCAAAACAATCGCAATATCCATATGTATACATGATAACAAATTTGTATAATATATATATATATATACGCACATATGTATTATGATCTTGTATAATTCAAAGGTATGTCTTGAAGTGTATCAATCACGTGTCATTTATGAATCACCGTTTCAGCCCGCGCGCTCTATAATTCCCTGCGTTTCCAGCATCCAAATGCATCCAATGTATTGAGCCTTGTAGTAGAGCTTGTTGGCCTGCAGGAGTCGGAAGTGGTCTTGGCGAGCTCCAGCACAGTCTTCGGGATACCTGGAAAGGACTGAAGGACGAGGAGAATCGAGGAGACAAAGGAGGGACTCTTTTTTGGGACATCGTGTGACATCGTGACATAGAGGATGGAGCGACATCGAGTGACAGGGGGGCAACATGGAGCGACAGCGATTCTTTTCACATCCAGCTTCTTGTCCAACCAGAAGCACCAGAAGCAAGGACCTGAAAGTAAATTCAAAAAAGGCCCTCAAGAGACCCAGAATAAATCAACTTTTACAAGGACTGTTGCCTCGCCGCCTGACGAGTAGGCCACTAAATGATCATCAGAAAATGAAAAAGGAGCCGAACTCTTCAAGAAGTCAACCAGGGTTCAATGCAACTTCAGTTTTTTGTGTGTGTGTGTGCGCGTTCTATATTCGCAATCATCATTCTAGATCCAGCAGAACGTTGAAACTTTGATCAAAACCAAAAACTCTGGAAGAGAGAAGTTACTTGACAAGAGATCAAGGACAAAAATGTGATAGTGTGACAGCGAAAAAACGTCAAGGCCATCTCATCCCACCACCATCAGTGAATACTTAGAGAAAATTGAGAAAACACTTACTCAAGCATGAGCCATCCGTTCAAGTTTGTCATCGATTCGATCCAATTGATATACACTTTGAATCACTTTGGTTGCACAGTGAGAAGCACGACTTTGCAGCGTTGATAACTAGCTTGCCAGCCACCGACATAACCGGTCTCCCCGGTCACTTTTCCCACTCCGTGTGGAACATGGCATTCTCCGTTTGCCAAGCTGCCTTGAAGGCTTGAGATTGTGAGACGAGTTTTTTTCTCAGTATCTGCCTGCTCACGAATGTTTGTATATATGTGGCTCTGTTTTGCGCCACACATTACTCTACAACCTGCCTACAAGAAAAACAATTTTATGCGGTCGCACTTCGTGACTTCGCGAGCGCTATGAATCAATGTAATGTATTTCAACAGATATGTACACGTTATGATAATAATACTAGTAATAATAGTACTAACAATGATTAATATGATTGTGATAATGATTACAGCAATGATAACAATGAAACAATGATGGTAGTAAAATCAAATAATGAAACGAATGACAATAGCAATAACAGCAATAATAACGATGGCAACAATATTAATATATAAATAATTAAAGTGGTTGATAATAAACCAACAATAGGTAATAGATAATCAAGAAAGTAACATTAACTAATCAATAAATAAGATTAAAAAACCCTAATAGCAATACTAGCAATAATAGTAATAAGAGTAATGATTGTAATAATAGTAATTACTAATTAGTAACAACTGCAAAAATACAATCAAGTACATGCATATAACTGTATATATAATCATGATATATCTATACTATATATATATATCTATATATACATTTATTATATACAATGTATGTACGTACGTATTACAATTGGACATCAAAACAGTTGTTTGGCAACCCAAGAGTAAGGGCATGTTTTCGTTTTCTTGGCCACTTCTTTCGCTTCAGGCAAGAGGATACCCTTTGTTCGGTCAACATGCATATAAATCAAGTGACCCATGATTGAAACACGGGAGATCAAACTTGGCAAAGCTTCGCCTTTGATGGCATTAAGGGGTCTGAGAAAATCTGAAACTTGTGAACGGGCTGGACTGGAAAATTGAAAGCAAATCCCGGCAGAGTTGGTTGCTCGTGGTCAAGCCTTGGCAATCTCCAAATGAGACGACTCCACAGCTTCCGCAGCATTCCGCTTCTTGCGGTGCTCCATGGTTTCATCAAAAGCCTCGCGCACAGCGCGAACTTCACATGTCAGATATGGGTCTTCAGCGGCAGTGTCTCAACAGCGCCGACCCAAAATCGCTCATACAGTAGGTCTCGGTAGGTCTTGGCTCAGCCTGGCCTATGATTCCTCAGAAGACACACTCTGACTTGAGAGCTGCATTCATTTGTTGGGTGAATGTTTTAGCAGAATCTTAATTGAGGTGTGTTGGCCTTGTTAATGCGATACCTTGCAAGATATACCTTGCTACAGCATCGGTCTTTTCAGAGACTGTCACGTTGTATCAATTTGGACGCACCTCTTGCAACAGCTTGGGGAAATTCGGCTCGTCCTTCCCACCAACTGTGTCCCCCCAGCACTGTCTGTGTGTTCTCATGTTCTCAAAAAAACGGAAAAAACAAACAGAGACTCAAAATTCGCACTCATGACTCGTGCCAAACTCTTGGTTTTTTGGACCCGATCCGATTCCTTGTCTTTGATCTGAACCAATGCTTACAGCCACTTGAATGTGCGCGCGGTTTCCAGTACCAGTAGTACCGCGCAAGGCGGTGGCGGAAGTTTCAAAAATAGGAAACCTATAGGAGAGGTTGGTTGTTGTGAATCACGGATGGCAAAGCGAATCTTCTGATGGACCGAAAGGTGGTTGGAGTTGTGTTTTTTGGAGTGGTTGCAATCGTTGCAGTGGTCATCTCACAACAACTGCTGGATGTAGTGTGGTGTAGTGCAATTGTAGTTGTCGACGTAGTTGTAGTGTAGCGTAGTGGAGTTGTAGTTGTAATGTTGTGTAACTACTGTAGTGTAGTTGCGTTGCAGTTCCAGTTGTAGTTGTGTGGTGTAATTAGTGTAGTGTACTGTAGTGTTGTGTGCTGTAGTTTGGTATAGTGTAGTGTAGTGTAGTGTAAGGTAGTGTAGTTGTAGTTGTAATGTAGTGTAGTGCAATTAGTGTAGAGTCGTGTAGTGCAATTTAGAGGTAGTTGCAATTGTAGTTACAGTTGTAGTGTATTGTATTGTAATGTAATTAGCGCAGTGTAATGTAATGTAATGTAATGTGATGTAATGTAATGTAATGTAGACGTAGTCGCATTTGTAGTTGTAGCGTGCAGCGGTGCAATTCGTGCAGTGTAGTGTAATGTAGTTGTAATTGTAGTTGTAGCTGTGGTGGTGGTGGTGGTAGTAGTAGTAGTAGTCGTAGTAGTAGTAGTAGTTGTTGTTGTTGTTGTTGTTGTTGTTGTTGGTTTTTGTTGTTGCTGTTGTTGCTGTTGTTGCTGTTGTTGTAATGTAATGTAATGTAATGTAACGTAACGTAATGTAACGTAACGTAATGTAATGTAAGTTGTTGTTGTTGTTGTTGTTGTTGTTGTTGTTGTTGTTGTTGTTGTTGTTGTTGTTGTTGTTGTTGTTGTTGTTGTTGTTGTTGTTGTTGTTGTTTTGTGTTGTGTTGTGTTGTGTTGTAATGTAATGTAATGTAATTAGTGTAATATAACTAGTGTAATGTAATGTAGCATATTTTACGTGAAAACGCAGCAATTCTGCGAGACTTCTTCACTTTTTGAACTTGGCAACATCAAAAACAAAACAAGTTTGCGAGACTTCCTTCAAAAATGGAAACTTGAGTGCAGAGCTGACGGCCTCGTATCAATGCGTTTTACGATTTTTCCACTCGACCTGTCTAAACTACTGCGCCTGCCACGAAGAAGTGATACCGGGTCATACGGAGTGCTGCACCTCTCACGCAAAATCATCTCAGCGAACCTGAAGATCTGATGCTCCAAATTGTAACCCCTCTCAGGAAATCAGCGCCCGGACCTCCTAACAGCTCTAATGAACATGTCTCTTGTATTGCGCCTGCCACGGAAAATGCATCTTTGCAGATCCTCTTCAAATGTCCCAGGCCTGGCATCGTTTTTGGAAATCCTACAAAACCCTCACGTTTGTGCTCACTTTTGACAACGTGCACAATCCCTTGCGCCTGCCACGCAAAACCACACCTGAACGACCAAAAAGTGCTCCGAACCCCTGTTTTTTTGCACTCTTGACTTCGAAATGTGCTTCGCGCCACAATGGCGTACACTTTTTCGACATCGCAACTTCCAAAAGTGGTCCGACATTGAGGTGCTTTGTACATTTTGACTTCCAAATGTGCTTCGCGCCACAAAGGCGTGCACTTTTTCGACATCTCAACTTCCACAAGTGGTCCGGACATTGAGGTGCTTTGTACATTTTGACTTCGAAATGTGCTTCGCGCCACAACGGCGTGCAATTTTTCATCTCTCATCTGTCCAGCGGGCTCCGCACCCGCCGCTTTAGCGAGCCTACTTTTCGACCCTCCAGAGCCACAAATCATTGGAAAAACACAGTGTTTTGCGACTTTCCTACCTGTTCGCGCACCTGGATTTTCTTTCTTCTGATCTGAGACATTCTGAGACTTTCTCTTTTTTGATCTTCTTTCTTCTTCTCTTCGCTTCGCTGACTCTTCCCATCTCTGCTTTTCATCTGTCCATATTGCCGGAAGTTTGACTTCTAAACTTCCTTCGCCTAGTAGAAAATGATTTACAAACCGCATTTCAAGCCTGAATGATGTAGTGCACCACTTGTCCCCTTTCCTCAAACTTGTGTTGCACCTGCGCCACAGGCAAATTGACACTCAGTTCACAGCCGTTCGTGTGGATGGCAAAAATGCGGTTTGCTACAGAAAAAAACACTGTTGGACCTAGAACAGTGCCTTGTGAATCCTTTTTGAGCATGATCTCATCCAAGTGGCCCAAGTCTCCGGAATGCAGAATGGAGCCCATATTGATGTTTTGGTTTACCTTCACAGTAGTCAACATTTCACACCCATAGATAGATATATATATATATATAAATATTATCAAGGTGCTCGATCTTCTTATCTGAAGATGATGTAAGTAGAAAGTGGATGAAAGTGAAGCAAAACAACCTGATAAACTAAGCCTAGAAATTTGATAATATTTAGGATGCTTACCAATTCTTACCAGCCGCAGCCTCGTCGAAGAAAACATCCTTAGATTCTTAGATGGAGTGGGAAAGGGCGCAGCAGTTCGTGGCGCAGGGTCTCAGTGTCTATCGCAGAAATGGATAATTACGACTCGTGCCATGCGACCGAACGGACCTCACATCCAATCCACAGACATCGTCAAAATCGCCACCCGTTTATCTGAATCGCGCAGACCCTTTTCAAGACAACGAATGTGATAAAGCATGACAAAGCGATTTTATTCAGGCGCGCTTCCACACTCCCACTCAAACAGCATTGATAATCGCAATCCTTCTTTGTGAAGATGATCAGGTTGCACGCAACATTTTGAACACTTTCTGTCGAGATTCAATGTCGAACTTCT